TAGTTCCTTTTTGGGTTTGGTATGGCTCTGGTTAGGAATCTTATTAGGACTACCAAACAAAGTACTACATTGGAGGGTTTAGGTAGGGTTCATCTCTGATCCCTTAGGATGATCTAAGAAAAGGTGTTCAGGGTTTAGGGCATATAGGGTTTAGAGTTTAGAGCTTAGGGTGTAGGGTGTTTAGGATACTTCTGGGGCCATATTTGGGATAATGGAAAAGAAAATGGAAGCTACTATTTTGGGGTTTAGGGTGTAGAGTTTTAGGGTATAGGGTATGGGGGATATGTAGGGGTTATCCTAGAAGGATGAGGGCTTTATGGGGATTATTATACAGGGTTTGGGGATTTGCGAACCTCTTTGTGGTCGATTCCGCTGGGAAGGTTTTGAGTTTGTATTGCAGTATAGCCCAAGAATTTATTGAACATAACTCTTCCCATTCATTATATTCTGACAGCTTTTATGGTAGTATGGTACGGGGAATAATGAGACATGATGTTTTTTCATTCTAGATCTCAGCGGACCACAGCTGCGGGGTCCCGGAAGGGATCGTGCACTCACCGGATTTTACTGTTTAGGATACTTATGGGGCCATGATGGGATAATGGAAAAGAGAATGGAAGCTACCATTTTGAGGTTGATGAGTGTTCAGCAGAGGTTGAAAGAGAGTATTCTGAAGATTGTTTTGAGGACGGTTGTAGAGGATTCTGTCGGTGTACGTATTCGGTTGCGAACAGCTCCTACTGGTAGTGTATGGGGGCGAGGAGAGCCGATCTGGGCCGGTGGTAGACTGATTTTATTTGGGTGCCCCCTAAACCCTAAACCCTTAAATCCTAAACCCTAGGTGCTTTAGGGTTTGGGGTCCTCTTCTGTACCATTTTGGGGGATGGGCAAGAGGTTTTGCGAGATCCTGGAGCCCCCATCTCCGGCAGTAGTACTTCTATGAGGGTTATATATAGATATATACATATACATATATATATACATATACATATATAGATGTGTATGTATATATGTATATATAGAGTTTCCAGGTCATTCTCCAGCATCCCGAAATCCTAAACCCTAACCTTGTGTAATCCATATAAAATCCATCATTCTTATGTAACTCCATATGCACTGATATCAACTTGGGTCCTACTTTGAGGTCTCTCCTTGCATTCGCAGAGCTGCTCAAATCTGATTGAGTTTAGGACCTTCACATGAGTCGTATGTTGATTTTTTTTTGCGGATACTGTGGCACCCATTATAGAGTAAGATTGTTTCCTGCTTTTTAGGTATGGTATTTTATATAAAGAACATAATCTTACTCGGTTCATGCACCAGAGAGAGCCCTACTCACATGGTTCAAGGCATGGCTACACAGGCAGTTGCAAAAACAACAGGCTATTTTAGAAGGCGCTAAGGCTCAATAGAGGGCTGATAGGCTCAATGAAGCTTACACAAAATCCATACAAGACGTTGTCAAGAGGCACGCACGAATTAATGAGGCACCACAACACCCTATCACCCCGCCAGGTCTCGTGTTCTCGCCTCTCTTGCGGAAGACCGTGCTGGCTCGGAGTCCACATATGCAGCAGCCTTTGATCTTTGCTTCACTACTTTCATGGGCCCCCTCCTACTTCCCCGTATGACCCCCAACTAGGGTTCCCTTGAATTCTGTAGATAATCCTAAGCTCAGGGGGAACCTAGCAGGGTAGTGTAAAGGGGGTGTAGGTATTTGAGCTGTCGCCATGCTTGGACAGCCCTCAGATTGCCTTCTGTCATTCTAAGGTCGACTTCCTCTGCCACATCCATAAGCTTGTTCAAAACAAGCAGGACTGAATCAAAGGCCGATTGAGCAATGTTGTGTGCCTCTGCTGGAAAGTAAGCCACCACCAGGATCTATCTGGACCATTTGCCACCTGAAACCAATGTTACCATATTGCTTTCTGGATGTAGAAACATTGATGTGTTTGATACAATACTGTTGACGGTTCAGAACCTCCGGCAAAAGCTACAGGCAAAATTGCTCTTTTTGCATTTGAGGCTGAGCAGGAAGTTCTACATGGCCATGCATTGTATGGCCACGTAGAACTGTATTGTATGGATGGAGATACCCCGTAGTAAAACGCTAGTCCCTAGCCCAAAGCCCCAACCAGACCCTGAACTCTGAATTGTATAGATGGAGATACCCTGTAATGATGTTCCCAGGCCGCAGGAACACAGCATATCTCAAGCTACCCCATTGCCACCCCTCTGACAGAGTAGATTGATGAGAGTTTCAGGGATTTAGGGGTTAAGGTTCACGGGGTGTCTGGAGTTCAGGACTGGATGTGAAGCAAACACTCAATTGAGATCCAGGGGGGATACCAGGATTTGAAGTCCAAAGCCCAGATGATTGCGAAGATACCAAGCTTCGAGGTATATGTTTAGGCGCCAAAATTCAGGGTTTCCCTAAACCCTAAACCCCTAAAACTCAGGGTTTTCAAGTTTAGGGTTTGGGCCTCGCTCAAGACGGAAGCCTTGGAGGCTCACTTGTGTTCAAACTCCAAGCCGGCCTTTGCTACAGTAAAAGCCATGCGGTTTAGGGTTTAGGGCTCAACAGTAAGAGCCTTCAATAAACTGTCAGCATTACGGTCCTAGATTGCTTGTGTAATTATGGCGTAGGGTACTTCAAATAGAGTTATGATATTGATAGCTATTGACGCAAAATTCTTCTGTTCCTGAACCACCACATTGCCTTGCAAAGGCCCTCAATAGCAATCAATAGCCCTCCGAAGAATGTCATTCACTAGCCTGCAGTAGCTCATACATTGTGTTTGTTCTTAACTTTTCTCTGAAATCTGCAGGAGGGTAGCTATGAGGTGGGTAGTCTGCAGAATATTCCCATAAGGACTTCAGGACTTCCATAAATCCGGGTGGTATAGAAAGCCTGTGCGAGACTACCAACCGTTACATTACCTAGCTTCAATGGGCATCTACTTTGCCTGGTTACCTGCCAGCCCAAGCAAGTGGTTTCACCAATTGCCTAGGGCCTAGAAGTGGCTTTGAAAGCCAACAACCTACGACAGCGCGTCGAGCATCAAGAAAGTTCTTGGCTCCAGCAACCACTAGAGACAGGAGGCTTGTGGCTCTTTGCTTTTAGGGTTAAGGGTTTTGGGCACAAGAATGAATTGAGGCAAAACTGTACATGTAGAAGCCCGGATAGTTGCCGCGATTGACTGGATTGCTGTCAAGGACCTTGATTTAAATTATTATATTGGGAAACCATATTAATTACCATGTATACCCATCATTATGGTAGCTTAATTTAAGCTCCTCAACAGCAACCCAGCAGTTGCCTCAACAATATGCTCGATTTGGATTGTCTGCAGCTGGGCTTGCCGAATGAAGTTTAAAAGCATGTTCGGTACTCAATAGTGTCCTCCAAATCTGGCTCCCCCAAACCCGAATCCCTCAACCCTAAAGCCTATTCCCTGAACCCCCACCCTAAACCCTAAACCTCCAAATCTGGTTCAGTATGGAATTGCCGCTCAGTCGACCCCTCTTAACCGCATTCGTGAAGAAAGCTGTTGCCGCTCCATATTGGGTTGCTGTTAAGAGACTTAGATTAAGTTACCATCTTATCCCCCTATAGTGGAGAATCAAATGGAAAAGAACATGGAAAATTAAATTGTATATGTGGTAATTGATATGGTTCCCCCAATGTAGTAATTAAGGTCCTTAACAGCAACCCAGCCAATAGTCCGCTGCTAAACTGACTCTTCAAGATATGTTTCGCCGCTCGGTAGGCAAGGTCTCAAATGGCTGATTGATAGCACCCTCTAAGCCTCAATGGCATTAACGGCTTTAACGAGCCTCCAACGAAGCTCTTCTAAGCCTTGCCAAGAGACACTCGGTAGGATTTGATGCGCCTAGCCTTTCCGGGGATCTAGAGAGAGACACTGATTTCGAGAAAGCTCCCATGTGCGAACTCCATGACATCTGCGCGGAGTGAGACACATTTGAGAAAAAAGACTGCATGCTGGAAAACTGTTCGTACTTTACAGTGGTGCTTTTCCGAAGTGATTTTTTTCATAAGAATAGTAGAAGTCCTAAGCATCCGACATGTATGACTCACATACTTCCGGTTTCTCAAGCTACGGGTCCGTACTTTGATAATAAGTCTTTCTAGGGGACCCCACAACAAGAAGATCCCTGAAAACCTCCATCTGCACTCTGCAAAGCATGGGCATACGGTGGCCTTCCACTGTGATGTACCTGGACTTTTTTTTATCCGCCAGGCATTTTCGAGCAGTGGAAGCGCTGATGCATTCCATACAACCTTGTTATACTTGGCCATACAATACATCTGCAATCAGCTTTGATACATCTGTCGGTTGTTTATGGTGTATTGATCTGTACTGTTTTGTTAGGCTGAGGTGAAGGAATGCCAACCAAAACACAAACAACAACCTTCATTTATGGGGATGCCTGTGTCTGTCAGCATATCAAGCACGTAGGAATTTCAATAACAGGGGTGCTCTGATATCGGGTGCACAATGACCAGAAAACGACAACTGATGACACCGGTATGAAGAAAAGGTATGGGGTTCCTTGAGAACCCCCCATGCACTGTGACCTTGATTTCAGGGGATCCCAAAGGGACCACCATTTTTCAGGGTTTAGGGTTTAGGGTAAATGCCAAACCCTGGCAAACCACTGTATGATCCCAGTGTCCATGTAAGTTTCCATTGTCGTATCCATTTGACTCTCCATTTTGGGGTAACATCCCGCAACAACCTGGATGTGGGGCTGCTGTCCAGGTATGAGCGGAGTACTGAGATAGAGTTCCGAGATGCGTCTGAAATTGTGAATCGGCACGTAGCAGCTTGGTATGAATGGGTACCTGTGCTCTGCCAACTCGTGAAGAAACCTATTGGATTTTTTCGGGTTTTGGATTCTGGTTGCAGGAGGCAGACTCCCGCTTCGCTTCATGTGTGGGATGTCAGCGCGTGTAGCCTCGCAGTTGCGCAACTCAGGTATGGGTAGCTTTGTTTATCATGGTGCTGCACTCAGAAGATCACAGAGCATCATCGGTGTTCTTGCGCAGATTTGGGATTTCCAAAAAGAATGATCCCTTTGTGGTGATCCTTTTAAAGATGAAACTATGTCGGGGTATGTCGAGGATCCGCCTGTTGGTGGAAACCACCAATTAGGGCTGCTGCTAAGAAACTTTAAGCCAAGCGATCCTAATCAGGAATCTCTCTTACATGCTGCGTAATAGCTTAGGTCATTTCCTTTACAGCAACAATCACCACCATGTGTAAGGGAGCTGTAATGTGCGAGGAAGTGGTCCAAGCTATCATCACTTAATTTGAGTTTCTGAGCAGGCCATCATAGTAAGGAAACGGAGGAAAACCCAACTACATACTCTACATCCATGCTATGGTGACTTAAGATTTCCATTTCCTACACCGCAAACCACTCAAAATTTGACCCCTGAACCCTAAATCCAAAACCCTGACTCCTACACCCTAAATCCTGAACCCTAAATCCTAAACCCTAAATCCTAAGCCTTAAATCCTAAACCCTTAACCCAGTGGCCTGAGGCTATGGAAGGAGGGCTGGTCATGTGGCAGGTTGGCCATCTCAGAGAATTCTTCAGGCACCGGCCTCAGATTGGAGATCGGGCCTCATTATTATTTCTTATTTTTATCATTCTTATGATTGTAAGTTATATTCTCATTTTTTATTTTTATTGTTATCATTATTCTTATTCGTATGCTTAGTCTTGTATTGTTGGTATATGGTCATTGTTACTATCATTGTTATCATTCTTGTTGTCATTATTATGATTACTGTTATTACTGTTATCTGGGGATGTCTAGGGGTTTTAGGGTTTAGGGGTATGTGGGAGGGTTATGCGGTTAAGGTGTACTTAGGGTTTGGGGTTTATGTAGGGTTATATGCGGTAATACTGGTAAGAAAACTGAAACTACTGTCTAGGCTGTAGGAGGATTTGATTCCAATGATTGAGAAAGAACTGGAAAAAGAAAATTGAAAATGACATGGAAACTGGGATGACATAATGGTTTATAGGGGCTTCCAAAAATTAGGGTGGAGGTTTCTTAATATGGCAAAGCGCATGCAATTTAGGCATACAATGAAGAGGTCAACCGTTTCTTGCAGCTCAGGCGAGAAAAGCTGATCGTATAGGGACGGACGTCTCGGTGTTAACGGAAACAGGTCTTAAACGGTAACTCTGCCGAGAGACCTGACGTGCTCAACCTCTGGCACGCATTGTAGTGTTCTTACTGGTGGCTAGTAGGAAACGGAGGAATAGATGCCTGCAGCAGTTCTCACATAATCCTTCAGAATCATTTCCGTGTCCCATGCCTTGATTTCCTAATAGCTGTCAGTAAGAGTATTGTTCTGCACTTGACCTCAAGCGCGGACCTGGCCAGAAAAAGCTGCTGTCTGCGCAGATTTGCAAGAATCCAGAATTCCCTCTTTTGGGGGAGGTCCTATATCAGGCGCTTTAGATCGTGCTCGGATATCCCATTTATCTATATGTGTGCGTGCGTGTACCTGTGTACAGGAGACCTCCATTCTTGGAAGCTCCCAAATGCTGGGAGCCTGCAGCTGAATTCCCTGCATGCTGATCCGCAGCTCATTCAGGACGAGAAGTCCAGATACAGAAGTCTCATCGTGTTCTCGGTTCAGTAAGCTGTGTATAGCAAGGCATGGCAACTGCTTTCTCAGTTTGCTGAACAGTTTAATGTGAGCCTAGTGGGCATAGAAATGCACCGGCAGCATGCGATGAGTGATTCTGGAGAGTCGCTTCGTATCCTCAGCGAAGAGGAAGGCTCTTTTCAAAGCGTCGGCTGGCCACCTCAGCACCTTCAGTTTCTACGTGACGCTGAGAGCGCACTCGCATCTGATGCATGCCGACGATGGGTGGGTCGTCGAGTTCGTGTCCCTCAGCTTCCACACAAAATCCCTGGAGACTTCTTGCCGTTCAACAGGACGCAAGGCCTCGTTAATGTCGGCGCTCCAAGATTCCACCATTTTATAAGCAATGCCATAGTTGAGTTAACGCACCTGGCATTAACGGTTCGGATATTCTGCTCTGTGTATGCAGCTCACTGTGCGGAGCTTCTGGCGCACTGGCGGGCGGCATGGTGCCTAATGCTCCGCAGACTGAAGAAGGCGACTGCACTTCTCCCAAGATCTGGGAGGGTACCCACAGCTTTTGGGACAACAACTGCGGCTCTGATCACGCAAGCTCTGCCCCAGGACTTAATCTTCCCACTCAGCTCGCTTGCCACGGGAAAGGCTGACATCCACTCTGCAATGGCAGCTGTTGATAATGTCTCGATCACGTTCACCGAGTACTTTGAAGCTTCGACGCTTCTTGGGGATGAGATGCTACAATTCGGCAGGACCCGCGTGGGACGGGCACAGTACCATGGCGAAGCTCCGAATCTGTTCGCAGTGGAGGGAATTCTCCACCGTGCGTCCGTTCTACTTTGGGCATTGGCCCACCGGCCCGGAAACCGCGAAGACTCGATTCCGCATATGGTCGAAGTTGGCGTCAACCGTGCGGAATGCTCTGTGAGGATGCTGTCGAACTCTCGGCTCAAGTGGCTCGGTGTTGATCTTTATGTCAGTGTTGACAGAGATGGGCCCATCTATGGGGGCTCCCCACTTACAGAGGCTCGTGCAGCGCTGTCACCATGGCTTGGCTCACGAGCACAGCTGATGTTAGATCAAAGCACGTCCGCAGCACAGTCCTGGCAGGGGCTCCGGGAATTCGACTTGGTTTTCGTTGATGCAGATCACGAAGAACCTTCTGTGAGACGGGATATTGAAGCCTGGAGTCCTCTGTTGCGAGAGGGCGGAGTTCTGGCAGGCCACGATTATGCGCGCATTTGGCCAGGGGTTGTGGCAGCTGCTCATGGAAGCCTGCCTCCGAACACCACGCTTCATTTGGCGCCGGACATGGTTTTCTGGTGGTACAAGCCACATGCAGAAGCGTCATCATGGAAAACACATGAGCCTCAGCATGTGGCACATTTTCCTGAATGCGTAGTTTGGTTTGGCATGCATACTCACTCCAGCACGCGTTCTTGCTGTCCCAACTTCTGGCTGCACAGCATCGGATGTCCTGAGTCGCAGCGCTGCATAGGCAGCACATCAGCCCAGCAAGAAGGTTTGAGCAAACCGCGATTAGGTTTGGGCTGTTAAGCCCACCCAGCCGATATTTATAGTCACATGAGCTGTAGTCTAAACTCCTTAAAGGGGGGTTATATAGGAATTATATAG